AACGCATCTGCTTCTTCAATCGTAAGGTGATATTAGGACAGTTGCTCTGAGAGAGGTAGAGAGTTGTTATGCCTTTTAGATTTATTCATTTTCAATAACAAATTCGATTAATTAAAATATTTATTGTAAACTTTCTTTGTAACAGAAAATGGGCGATAGCGCGATTTTGTTAGCTCAAAAGAGCTTTCTCAGAGGACCCGTGACCAACAATGGGTTTGTAAACTTTATGCGAGATTATGCTGCGCAGGCACGTGGGTTGGACGTACCTGATGCAATAACCGTTGGCAAAATGTGGAACAGGCTGACCCCATCTCAACGGAGGAACTATCGGTTTATGAATGTCGATTGCGAGGATGGAAATGAAAGCAGCAAAGAAAGCGAGAATGGCAGTGATAAGGCCAGCGAGAATGAAGACGAGGACATGGATGACGTCGATGATATGGATACCATGGAGGATGCGGATGATGCGGATGATGCGGACGACGCTGAGGACTCTGAGGGCTCTGAGGACTCTGAGGACGATGAGGACGCTGAGGACGCTGAGGACGCTGAGGACGCTAAGGACGCTAAAGACTCTGATGACGCGGATGATGCGGATGATGATGACTTGGATGACGGTTGTTGTCCCAAGAAACGGAAGAAGAAATCATGCTGCCCATCAACACCGTGCTGTCCTAAGAAGCGTCGCCGTAAGCCATGCTGCCCCAAACCCGCCTGCCCCCCACCGAGTCCATGCTGTCCGAAACCGAAGCCATGTTGCCCCCAACCGAGTCCATGCTCGAAGCCGAAGCCATGCTGCCCGAAACCCAAACCATGCTGCCCGAAGCCCAGGCCACGCTGCCGCAAGCCGAAGCCTTGTTGCCCTAAACCGTGTTGTCCTAAACCAAGGAAACGCTGCCCGAAGCCTTGTTGTCCGAAGCCGTGCTGCCCGAAGCGCAAGAAGCGGTGCTGCGCGAAGCCCAGGCCCTGTTGTCGGAAGCCCCGGCCACGCTGCACAAAGAGAGTCAAATGCCAGAAACCTGGCCCAATTACAAACAATGGCTACTTGAACTTCCTGCGGGCCTATCGCCGCAAGCACTGCGGGCTCAAACCCAAAGAGTTGGTCATGAAAGCAGCGCGAGCATGGTGTAGACTGCCGGAATGTAAGAAGGATTACTATCGCCGCCAGGTGAGTTAGCCAGACAGCTGCAATCCACTCAGATATATAATCAGGTGATCTGTCTTTAGGCTTGCAGAGTTACCAAGAGCTGTCGCCACAAGCGGCGTAGAGTCTGCACTGGAAAATGAGAATGCCCTCGGCTAAAACAATGTTTGCAGATCTTGTCAACGATGCTAACTGTTAAATGTGCTGCATTTTGTCCCTAGTCTCAATTAAATCATCATCGTCACAAGTCTGCACCAGCTGAGGCGCTACCATCCACCTGAATTTGTCCCAATGTTGTCTACCAAAACCATCTGTGAAGTGTGCTGCGTGTCGTCCTACTAGAAATTGCGTCACCTAATCTTTTAAAAAAAATCAAATTTAATTTTTATCAATATATTGATAGATAAATGATAGTGAATGTAAAACACGAGTGGATTGACTTGTTTATTTATTGTTGCATTTAGTATTTGTTTCAGGATATT